CAACCCCCCAACCCCACCAAAAAAAGTTCTCTGATCAAAGTTTTCTTTGCAGATTCGGGGAGATCTCGGCGAGCACAGTCCAACCATGATTTCAAAAAAAAAAAACAAAACAATTTTGACCCATTTTTGGGCCCAACCGGAATTCCGGTTGGACCACCGGGGGTCCAACCGGCCCGGTTGGGACCGGGCCGGTCCAACCGGCCGGTTGCCGACTTAGCCCTGGTTTATGGATAACTGGGTCCATTGTCAGCGACAGGGATGTCAGGTTCACCACTGAATTGTGGCAAAGCACGACCCAGCGAATAGGAACCCAACTGCAGATGACATCAGGGAATCACCCTCAGTCCAATGACCAAGCCGAGCAGATGAACCGTGTAGTACAGCTCTTGCTCCGGCATTACAAGCCGAGCCAAGACGACTGGGATGAGAGTTACCTCTCATTGCCAGTCTGTACAACAATGTGGTGCACAGCACTATCGGCATAACTCCCAACCAGCTGCATCTTGGTTGGAATCCCAGGTCTGCTTTTGATTTCCTGTTGCCTGAGAACCAGCCCACTGTAGCACCTGGCAGCATGGAGTTTGCTGTCAAGTATGAACAGCTGCTGCAACAGGCTGTACAGCACATAAAGAAAACTCAGGATGCCATGATTGCCTCTGAGAATAGGCACAGACGGCCATCTGCATTTCAGGTAGGTGAGCGTGTTTGGGTTAAGTCATCTAATCTGGGAATATCTAGAAAATTGATACCGCAGTACTTCGTACCATGGGAAGTTCTAGACGTTGTTGGGAATGCACCAGATGGGCCAAGTTATGTCATCTGAATCCCTGGCACCTACGCACGCACCCTGTCTTTCATGCCTCCAAGCTGGCTCCTTTTTCTGAGACAGACAGGTCTCCATCAAGAAGATCTATGCTTACCCCAACCATGGATGGACACGTGGACATCGATGACATCGTTGAACACAAGCTGATGCCTGTGCCCAAGCCTTCAGGCAGGGGTCATCCGCTAAAGCCGCAGATGCACAGTGAAGAGTTCCAACCCATGCACTGTTCCTCCATTATTTGCTGGGCCAGCACCTGATCGTGGCAGGCCGTCAGATCCTCCTTTCAGGCACTCCAAGACACGGGTCTTTTCCTTTTTTTTTTCCGTTCGGAAACGGAGTTATATTACAAAGCTGGAAACTGGGTCCACTATCTCTTACATGTTGCGTCATTCATGCTTCCTTCCATTATGTCTGAAGGACCCGGAGACAGC